ATTTTTGTGAGAGAGAGAGAGAGAGAGAGAGAGAGAGAGAGAGACTAGACACCAAAATGATGTCATCAGATAAAACCAAACCAAAAACTACACATTAATCAAAACATAAAATGAACCCTGCCCCAAAAACACCACGTACACTTTTCCACGGGCGTAATGGCGCACGTATTCGCCCAAATCATGCGCCGCGACGGACAACACGAGTGGATCTTTGCTGGTCTCGAGGAGTCGGACCAGTATTTTCAACAACTCGTAGTTCTTCTCATTAAGACGTCCGGCGTTTTCCCTCCAAAACTTGTCGGACGAGTGGACGGGCGACCACTCCAGGCGTCCGCTCTTCACTTCAGTGGCGTACTCGTCGAATGAGGACAAGTCCTGCACCGATGCCAACAGTTTTTCTGTCAGATAATCGATGTCCTCTTTGATGTCCGGGTCGTCAAACTTCTGGCCCGACTGTTGCAGTATTTCCAACTGCTTTAACACCTAATCCATTGGAAATTGCAATTTAATTGTCATTAAAATTCACTTTTAATGTAAACTAAATTAACAAATATTTTTATAAGTTTTATAAAAGTGAAAATTTTATCTCAAAATATATTTAAAAAGTTTATGAAACAAAACATAGCATTAAATACAATATAATGCAAATCTAATCGGTTTTTAATTAGTGGTTGAGAGAGAGAGAGAGAGAGAGAGAGAGAGAGAGAGAGAGAGAGCCAGAAAGGGGTGAGGCATATGAGCCCAGACATACCTTGCACTGAACCATTGTAATCGCGTTATCACGTGTGATCTCAGTGTCCGTTGGCTTTTCAATCAAATTCTGTTCACAAAAATTAGACACAAAAAAGTTAGAAAAATGTCAAAACAAACAAAAATACACATAATTTAAACCAAATTACAGCTCAGACTCATTAAATCAGTTCTCATAGCCTTCACAGCATTAGCTCAGGTATGATAGGGTTGTCATCATTGCTATAACACAATGGACAGGTGTTTGTGTCAAACACTAGACAATACCAGACCAGTAGACCAGTGTCTGTACATTATAACCGAGTGTAAAGTGTCAACAAAGACCTACCCTGAATGTGGCCAGCGCCATTCGGGTCACTTTCTCTTTGACCGCTTCGCTCAGCACATCGGCCAACACTGGTATAGCGTTGTATTTATTCATTCTGGTGGCCAACGGCTCGTTGAACGTCAGTATCCACAGGCAAAACGCCAACTGATACTGGATCTGGAAGTTGATCCGTCCGGACAGCACCTGAACGATGGCAGTGATGCCGTCGATGCCCACAAACACGTCCCGATACCTGTCGTTCTGGAGCATCATTTGCATGCATCGGGCGATCGACTGAATGTATTCGTTGTTCTGAATAAAAGTCAATATAAAAAGTATGGTAAATATCTGTTTGAAAATGTAAGTGAATTGTAAAATAGATTAGTTTTAATTATAATTATAAAAATTACAGCTCAGACTCATTAAATCAGTTCTCATAGCCCTCACAGTACAGGTCAGGTATGATAAAAGTCATCAATGCTTTTAGTGAATGGATTGATAAGTGGCAGCCGGAGTGGGGACGCGAACCAGAGACCTACACGTCTCAGAGAACGCATACTTAACACACATACCACTCAATCCTACCTCAACGCCACTGCCATCAAAGTGATTGTCAACACATTATAAGACACACACAAAGTATATACTGTAGTGATAGTAAACGCACCGATAGTTTCAATTGATCCCTAAGCCATGTGAGGAATAGGTTGAGGTCCGAGCCCTCGATCGGTTCACTCGTTGTCCAACAGGCGATCTTCGCTATAATCAACGCCGTCTGTCATTCGCAACATATAATGAGATTTTAAAAAATACAATACAATTAGTAAAACGCGATACCAATCAATCAAATGTAATGAATAACAATACACTTGTATAAAAATTAAACAAAAAAACAAACAAAAAAAGTATAGAAATAGAGTGAATTGTATTGAAAATATGTGAAAACATATAAAAAACAAAATATTGTGTATATTCTGTATGCAATCAATAAAACCAAAGGGAAAGGTATACCAAGTTTTATATGAGAAAAATGCTTATAATCAATGTCTATATACCAAGTGCTATGAGAGTGAACAGCACAGCACAAGGCATACAGTTCTCCAATACTTGTCACCAGTAATAATAATAATGTCGTGAATTTGAATATAAATGTATGGGAAATGAAAAGCAAAAGCAAAGAAAATTCAATGGAATAAAAGTAGTGATGAAAACAACAAAAAATATATACCAAATACAGTGGAAAGGAATAGAAAAAAGCTATGAAAATGTAAAACAACAAAAAGTAGTTCAGAAATCGATTTGAAAAGTATAGCAAACGGCAGCGAAAAGGAGGCAAAAAAAGTAAAATAAAATTAAACAATAAAAATAAAGGCAAAAATTGCAGGTCTTATACACACAGAGAGTACACGATATATAGAAATTAAAGCCAACAGTGAATGACAGGCATTGGAGAGAGAGAGAGAGAGAGAGCACTGAAAATCTTTATTCAAATGTCTATAAAAGTGGGCAAAAGAAGAAAATAGCGAAACAAAAATAAATACATAAAAGCAAACAATGATTGCTATTATTCAGTGAATTAATGCAAAAACCCGTAACAAAAAACCAACAAAACAACAGCTAATCAATGATATAAAAAACATGCAAACAATTAATTTCAATAACTATTCAAACACAGCATTCAAATGGCGATTGGATATGAAAACGGGTGACAAACAAAAAACAAAACAAAACCACAATTACTTAATGGCCTTAAAAACCCGACAAAAAAGACATAACAATCCAACCGGTGGTCAAAAGTGACCGCAAAAACACAGCCCATAGAGAGAGAGAGAGAGAGAGAGAGAGAGAGAGAGAGACTCAAAACATGTATACATAGAAAGAGTGGTAACAAAAGCATGAGATAATCACAAGACATATCAAAACTGATGGTCATTCGCACCATATTCTGGATGAAGGGGTCGTTCCTATTCAATAGGTTGAGGAATGTATACCAAACCGACTGTTTCTTCTTCTTGGAGTACTCCTTGAATAACTCGACTCGTGTTCGGTCCTCGAGTATCATGTCGTCAATAATACACAGTATGTATTGAATGGTCTGGTCTTTGGATATGTTGTTCAACAGACTGTTGAACATATGGGCGCACTGTTCGCCGTACTTGTCCAACAACTGGTGCCGCTGTTCGCCGCCCGTCGCCGACTCGTATTGGGTGATCAGCTGGAAGTCCTCTTGAGATACCATTTGCGACTGGAGGTACGACTGCCAGTTGACCCGCTGTTGGCGGATCTCCTGAGCCCTCTGGTGCAGCTGCGATGTGGCCGCCAATACGCCTGTCGTCGCCATCGGTGGTAAACAATGAGATATCAATTGGTATAGCAATCATCACATCAGCGGATCCATACGCCATAGACACAGATAGTCATCGCCCGTCCAAACGCGTGATACAAATGAGAGATCAGTATTAGTGATATGTTTTCTTAAGATATAGTGACCGCACGTGATGTGTGGATCAGTTCAGGTGATAGCATAACACATACCTGTCTTCTCGATCTCATCGATGGACAAAACAGAGTCCAGTTTTGCCGATAGGTTTGCCATCACTTGCCGTCCGCTCATCGGATCAGATGATACACACTATATATATGGTGAGTGTCTTCGAGTGTGTGCGTGAAGATTGTCACTGCAATTGATCCGCAAATTGAGATTTCAGTGATTGTTTAGTTGTGTTTATCACTCAAATTAACGCCCATTTCGTATACGCATTGTATTGTATTGAATGGCATTTCCAATGCATTGCTCGTAAACATGGCTTCCCATAGATTACGTCCATTTATTTTGGTTATAAATCTTATTTATTTGTCCCCCAATTGTATTAATTGTATGTATGAAGTTTGTAAATGTAAGTTTGTAGGTAATTAAACTTGGTTATTTTTAAATTATTTATTAATTAATTTTTTTTACGTTTAAAGTTATTTTTAAGTTAGTTTTTAGTGAAATTAAGCAAAAAGTTACTTTAATAATAATAATTATAATTTAATAATTTTAATAATCTAATTCAGATGTAATAAAATGCATGCAACTATTTTTACAAATATAATAATTAAATAATTATTTTTAATTATTATTATACTATTTTAAGACATCGTAACTTATGGTGGTAAATTATATAATCAATAAAATATTTATGCATTTATATATTATTAATGTTACATAAAAACATTGACTGTTTGATAACATAAACTAGTAAAACTAATAATAATGATGATTCCCGCCCCCACTACTCTCCCCCCGTTAATAAATAATTTTAAAAACTTCAACTCAAAAATGTTTCAATAAATGTTTCAATATTTTGTGATTTCATTTCCTGTCGGTCTATCGTTTGATGAGTCAAATGTCAATTCAAATGAGTGCTCAAACCATTGACCACTATTGAGGGTTGATAGGCATAAATGCATTGAAATCATAGGGAACCCACTCAAAATAGGTGGTTATCTTAATAAATATAATAGGATTATTCCATCAATTAATTGCCCTGGTAATTATTTTGATGATCGTTTTGCATTTAATTCATTAATCTAAAAATAATTATATTAATTGCATGTTAATTGTTTTTGTCTCGAAACATTGCTCTTTGTAAATACAAAATAAAATAATTATCCCAAGTATTATTTTGCTACTACAGTGAACTTTCTATATAGTGGTCGAGCAGTTGGTAAACATTTTTGGACACTGTATAGAATGATCACTCTATGGAATGTATAGAGAATAGTAGGGAAAATAAGTGTATATACTATTAAATGTGAAATAATCATATATTAAGATTGTTTAATGTTTATGAGATAAAAATTGAAAAATTGTTTATTAATTTCATTGAAACATCCTAATTTCAAATCATTATAAGACAAAAAATAGTTGTCTCATACCATAAAACACAATAGAGAGCGTAAAAGTAGCAAAATATAACCAAAAATAGCAAAATTTTGGCCACTATATGGAAAATTGACTGTATGGAGAGTCACTATATGGAGCGTAAATAACATT